CCATTGATTCAATTCTGAAATGATTATATTTGTGTGGTAATTATAATCCAAGCTATACAAACACACTGCAAACACAAACTTTGAACAGATGAAAACTCCAATATGTAAAAAGGTAATTGACTGTTGAAGGCAGAGCTTGGAAAGGAAACAGGAGTGAAAAGGGAAGAAATTAAAATGTTCCTTTTCTAGGTCCTAATGAGAGTAAATGTTTACTATAAAAGTAATTCAAATCATTTAAACACTTTTCCTATCAGGCAATACTTTAGGCCTTCTGCAGATTTGCATTTTGAGCTGGAAAAAGAAACTGCGTTTTGGTTTGAATTGGTTTGAAAAAACAACCACCCACCAGGAAAACATTTCTTCTGAAAGTCAAAAGTTTAATATAGTCACATGTAAAAAGTTAGAAAGAATTACCAATTATCAGAAATAACCAACAATAGTGATTTACGGGCCACTAGAAGCAATTTTAGTTCAAGAGACCTAAAGGCTAAAAACCTACCCTATAGCTACCACAAGTAACACTGTTACCAGTCATGATCAGGAATCACTTATTAAGACATAACTGCATATTGTGCTATTCTGGGTACTGAAGGAAAAAAAGAAGTGAAGTAGGTATGGCCTCCATCTCAGAACTTTTCATATAAAAGAGTTTTAAGTTTAACAATGACTAGGATGAACAGTTTTAGCTTAAAAAATATTAAGAATTATTCTCTTTCTTTTTCCCTCCCCTCCCACCTCCTAAAAATTAGTCTATTTCTAATAGAAAACAGGAAATAAACAGTAAAAAGCTGGAAAATACACAACAGTTGACTGAAAATAATTTAGCATTAACTTTCATTCTTGCATCTTTAATTTTTATGTATCTGAGTTTTTAAACTGATGGTTTAAATTCACCAGAATGAGAAAGAATACTACATTTTTATGACTGAATCCCATGGAAATGGAAAACAAATGGATGCAAATGCCACACTATTGAGGACTTTTTGATCACTCTTCATAATCATGAGTAAGTTTTATGCTTTTCCAAAAGCAATTTTTCCCCACCATGTCATTTCTTGCTTCCCCGGCTCAGCTGTCTCATAAATTAGGCTGTAGATCTCATTTAGCTCTTATTTTTGTTTAGCTAGAATGTTGAGGGGCAAGGGACAGAATGGTAACTTATAAACCTTGTATCTCTCTAAAACCACAAATTGCATTTCCCTTAATCTTTTTAACTTTACTCCAAATATGAAGAAACTTTCATGAAGCGCAAAGAAAAATTTACATGAACTGACCTCCTTTATTGAGGGTAAGGAGCAATAGGTGCAACTTTTCAATTATTTTTTGAATGTTACCCACCATTAATGACCCCCATATTAAAAAAAAAACATTAAACTACCAAGAACCAATTTAGTTTATTAATAAATTCATTCAAGAAATGTGTATTGACTGTCTACTATGTCCCAGGGACTAGTCTAACTTCTGAGGATACAGAAGTAAACAAAACAAAAATCTCTGCCCTCATGGAGTTTATATTCTGTGGGGGTAGAGAAAAGGGATGAATAACTTATACAGAATGTCAGATAGTAATAAATGTTAGGGAGAAAAATAAAGCAGGAAAGGGGGGATAAAAAGTGTGTTGAGAGTGTTGCAATTTTAAATAAAGTTGTCTGGAAATGCCTCTTTGAAAAGGTGGTATTTTAATCAAGATTTTCAAACCATGCAAGTATCAGGGAAAGAACATTGTAGGCATAGGGAACAACAAGTGTAACATCTCAGAGGCAGGAGAACATGTCATATGTCTAAAGAACAGTTAAAAGGCCAGAGTGACCAGAATAGAAAATAAAAGGGGAGAGCATAGACAATAATTCTTCTAATTTTCCTTTCTAGCTTTCCATTGGGAGATTTTGAAGTATGATTTTTCATTTGTTTTGTAGAAACTATAGAGATCATCTAATGGCTCCTTGGGGTTTTTAACCTTTATTGTGCCATGGACCTTCTTCTCAGAGTAATGCTTTTAAATGCATAAAATAAAAAATAAAAAATTACGAAAAAACCCTAATTATATTGAAATACAGTTTTATCTGTAGGCCTCCAAAGGTTCTGGAGGGTCTGCAAGTTAAGAACTTCTGAATACACACTAGGGAATTTTCTGGGGTGATGAAGATGTCCCATATCTTGATTGGGGACTGGTTTACACAGATATACACACTTGTCAAAACTCATTGACTTGCACACTTTCTTTCTTCCTTTTTTTTGTGAGTGGTAGGTACAGAGATTAAACCCTGGACCTTGGTGTTATCAGCACCACACTCTGAGTTAACCAGCCAACACTTTAGATCTCTGCATTGCACTGTATGTAACTTAAACTTCAATTAAAAAAAAAAAAAGGAATAGCCCAGTCCCTTCTTCATTTTATAGATAAAGAAAAACAAAGGTTCACTCAAAGAGTCAGACTTGCTAAGACTGATGACTTGCAGTATTCTTATTTAAATGTACAGGGCCAGTTTCAGTCAAAGGTTCTCCCAAAGACCTATCTCCTCACAGACACCAATAATCCGTGATTTAATTTAGCTATTATTAACCATGTCCACTCTAAGTGATCAAGGTTGTTTTAGAGCTGGAAGAAAAGCCCAAATAGCACTTAATCCAAACCTGTCCCAATGCAGAACCAATCAAGATAGTCTGTGGCCAGGAGAGTGAGAGGGTGAGGCAAAGTGGAGAAAAAGAACTACTTTTCTATATATTTTTTTACTTTTGTTTTTTATCTTTAGTATTTTTCTATATTTTTAAAGCTCTTCAGATAAGAGAAGCAGCAACTTCAACAGCCTGATCTTAACAGATTTTTCTCTCTACTATGTAAGGTCAGTTCTACGTATTTTCATAGGAGATAATCATGTAAGGGATAATCCCAAATTAATAAACTCTTCTGTTGACTTACCAGATTGGACACTCTAAGATTTTCTGCATAGCACGAAGGACAGTTTGTACTTCTTCAATGTGAACCGCAGACAGATCCATTTCTTTCTGTTCCAATAAACCTTAATACATTGAAAAACATATATATAAGTTAACCACTTAAAAAGATTCATAAAAACGACAGCTTAATTTTTATCATTTTTAATTAAGAGAAATTTAGGATTGGAGTGCTTCAGAATTATACTAAGCATAGAGCTAATGACAAAAATCCTTATTTTTAAAGGTTCTACAAGTTGCTTTTTGTAATTAGACAGTTTGAATTCTCTATTTTTTTTTCACAGATACCCTCCAACCCCCGCCTTTAGTCTTTTCCTTTCTCCAAGTAAGGGAAAACCACAGCGGAGTGACTGACTGAGTGGTAGCCTCAGCTTTCTCCAATCATCCTGGCTGTTTTCTTTTTCTTGCTTAAAACCAAAACCAACACCAACGAACGCTTCCCCACCCCTACCCTTCCCGTTTCCCAGTGACCTGCACTCATTCAGGATCTTCCTCAAGCACATCCCTGCCAGCAGCATCTATTACTACCGATGACCTTCTACTCGTACTTCCTTCTTGTCCGTTCTCAGAAACGCATATAGATCGTTATTAAGGGTTCTCCCTCCCACAAATTCCTGTCTCCTCCTCTTACCAGACACAATCCTGCCCCCTCTTCTTCCTCATGGTCCCGTTCTGTCATATGCCAGTGTCCCCCGCAAAACACATTCCCGTTCTTATAACCAGGATTTCCCCCTCGGACACACCATTCCCCCTTCTATATTCTCAGTGCTCCCCACGCGACCCACAAACTGCCCCCCCTCCCCTGGATTTCCCGCAGATTCACAACGTCTTAGGCCCCTCAGGTTCCATTCCCCGTACCCCGAGCCCGATAAACACCCATGCTGCTCCCCTTTGGGAGTCCACCCTTCCCCCACCCTCCCCACATCTGTTTCCCGCCTGTCCCCCTGGAGCACCTCCTGGGCCCTTCTCCTTTCCCCGAGGCTCTCCCACTTTTACCCAAAGAAAAGCGTCCGGGCTTCCCAGGCCCAGGGCCCCAGTTATCCAAGAAGCCCCCGATACAGAAAGCCTCAGCCACCTCACGCCGCGCAGTCGCAGTTTCAATTTATCTGTAATTCCCGCGCTTTTCTGTCGCCAAAGAAACCAGCCTCTGCCGCAAAGCGATAGCCTCTCAGAATACGAGATCAAGATACGTTAGCGGAAGGGCGGGGCAGAAAGAGCCAAGAGTCTCTCGGGACTCTGGATTGGCCACCCATTCTCCCCCGGCATGATGTCATTAGAAAGAGACGGAAAAGACAAAATTATATCCGAGTTTTCTATTAGGCGCCCGCCCCCTTGCCTTCACGCTTCCAGTTGCGGCTTATTACGTCACAGTAATAGTACAAGGATCGGAATCGCTACCTGAGGCCGCAATGTGAGCTCAAGACAGTGCCCAAAACAGTCGCAAGAAGAGGCCCCATTTCCCCACCCTTTCTGCCGCAATGGAAGGCTCCAGTTTAGGTAAATAAAAGGATCGTGGGGAAAAAAACTACGATTTCCAGCATGCATTGCGGAACAAAAGGCCTTCGCCACAGTGTTTCTTGGAAACCGTAGTCTTATGGAGAGGAATTTCCGACACCGGAAGTGGGCACGATTCTCACGACAACCCAGGGGATAGATTGGAGACCTCCGAACGGTTATGCACGTTAACAGCTATGGATCGGAGTGTAATGTTTTCGTGTCTTGAGAGTAGAGAATAGGCAAAAGAACCTGCAAGTTCTAGGAAAACTACAACTCCCATCCAGCCGCGCGAGTCTCGGAACACAGGGGTCGCCGGATTTGCCTGGGGAGGGGAAATCGCTGCGGCCTACATCTGCGCACTCGTAGTCCCGCCCCTCGGCCCAGTGTTTGTTGTTGTGCGGTTCGGGTAGCTTCTGGCCCTCCTTCGCCAACGTAGCTTCGACCAATCAATGGGGTGGTAGTTTTGAGGGACAAGTGGCAAGAGCCAGTCATCTTGTCGGACACCCAGAGAAACAGGCGACTGACTCTGTCTCTATCCGCCATGTTAGATTCACCCCGCAGCGATAGCAGCGGATCTGGCAGTGAACGGTCCCTGCGTTGGCCTCCGGCAGGCACCCGCCGGGGGCAGGAAGCTGGTAAGGAAGCAGCTGCCGTTACCTAGGGGTGGGGTCCTGTCGCACTAAGAGGGCTTGGGAAAGTTCAAGGGAGGAATCCTGCAAAGAAGAGGAGTGACTTTTTCCGTGTCTGGGGACAGCTGATCTTTTCAGTGACCGGATGAGAGAGCCGTTAGTTTTCCGAGGGACCGAGGGGGTGGGTAGCGCCCAAGGGATGAATGGTCCGTGTCTCAGAACGCCTAGCTTCTGCTGATGGAAGGCCGAAACTTTCCAGTACAAAGAGGGCCTAAGTAAAGAAAATGAGAGTCCTCAGGGGGTGTTGACACTCCTGCGAACAAGGAGTGCTAGGATATGCTAACTGGAAAATTAAGATGAAGTCTACAAGAAAAAAATGATACCGCCCACAAATCCTCCTCCTCCCATTGTCCTCCTCTTGAGATCTCTTTCCCTCTTGATGAGATTTGCTTGGTCGGAGACCTGTATTGGAAAGGCACGTTTTCCTTTTTGTCAAACACCCATCTTTCAGGTCACATTTTAAAACTTGGATAGCTAGTACAGGTAGAGACAGTAATCAAAGCTCAGCTTCTCAGTTCTGCTTTTAAAGGGATTTTTTTTTTTTAGGCTGTAAAACATTGACTAAGAGGAAAAGCTGACTTTTGCCAAGCAAAGGTGAGTCAGGTCAGTGGCATGAACTTACAATAGTTTCAGTTCTGAAAGCTGGAGGCATAGACCCCAGCTACCCAACTGTACTGGCTTTAAACCTACAGAGACAGATGGGGATAACCATAGCTTTGGTGTTTCCACAAGTTCAGGATTAATGCTCTTGCTGAGAGAATTCTCACATGTAAGCCAAAGAGAGAAAGGCAATTATTTATGAAGACTTGGATATGGTCCAGCTAAGCTAGAATCTCCCACTTCCTGTTTTTCTCCCCATTGGCGGACCAGCTGGATGAGCTCCAAAGTATGTAAACTAATTTCCAATTGTGTAATTTAGGAAAAGGGGAGGAAGATTAGTTTCCTTCCAGACCCTCAAAAGTGTGGAAGTGTGTTTCTTGAAGCTGAGAAGTAAGAATATATTTCAAAATACCCACTTTTGTCAGACCAAGTCAGTCACTTAGTTTCCCTCATTTTTTGCCCAAGGTCCTGGGAAGTTGACAGGGATTCTGCCCAAATCATAAGGACCCCAAGAATTGCATTTCATGTGAATGAATATTAGATGTCAGTAGGATTGGTGCTAGAGACAGGTATTACTTTGGTGGTGAACTCGGCTCTAGGTGGAGACAAAGAATGGGGGATAATTGTCTTTGGGTTTTAAAAACTCCCTGATCTTCAGAGAGTTAAAGGTCCTTGCAATGACAGTCTCAGTTGTATTGTTTCACAGGGTACTGCAATAATACCATGGAAAACAGTACTATTTTGAGGTTTTAAAGATTGGTTTATTATAATAATAATTTTTTTGCTGGCTAGTACAGTATAATAATAATTTTTATAGTTAGATGATGTTTTCAAAGAACTTGTACACAAGTTCTTTTTATTTTTATTTGATCCTTATGATTACATTGTGAGGTAGGCAAAGCCGAGCTATTAGACCTATTTTACAGATTGAAGAACTGAAGCTCAGAGTTTTACTGACTTGCTCACATTTATATGACTATCAACATGCTGGAGATGTGTCTGGAACCCAAGTCTTCCCACCTCTTATACTGCCCCCTCTCCCCCACCGTAAACTTGTGGGACTTAATCTTGTTCATCTTTTATCTCCTCTGCCTGGAGCAGAATCTGACTCTTTATAGATACAGATTAAAAAATTGTTGATGAATATGTTTAAGAGCTGATTTTTTTTTTTAAAGATGACTGGTAAGGGGACCTTAACCCTTGACTTGGTGTTGTCAGCGCCACGCTCTCCCAAGTGAGTGAACCAGCCATCCCTATATAGGGATTCGAACCCATGGCCTTGGTGTTATCAGCACCACACTCTCCCAAGTGAGCCATGGGCTGGCCCCCTAAGAGCTGACTTTTTTCACTACAATTTATGTTTAAACAACTTAAACTATTTTTTCATAAAGCCACAAAAACAAACCAATTCAATGTAACAAATCATCAGTAAACAAAATCCTTAATTAAAAACAATGACTAGAATAGATATTTGATCAAGGCATTACTAACTTCTTAGGCATTATAATGTGCTTGTATTTTAAAATTCTTATATTTTAGAGGTATATACTATATTCAGCTATTTAGGGATGAAAGGATGGATGTCTGTCAGAATAAAACAGTAGTAGGGAAGGGGTATTGCCGTAACAAGACTGATCTTGAGCTGATCATTGTGGAAGCTAGCTGATGGATCCGTAGGGATTCATTATATTATTCTCTCTACTTTTGCATAGGTTTAAAATTTCCCATAATAAATAGTTTTAAAAAAATTATTGTAGTTTGGGCCGGCCTGGTGGCGCACTGCTACAGCGCGCCGCTTGGGAGCGCGGTGGCGCTCCCGCCGAGGGTTCGGATCCCACATACAGACCGGTTCCTGCTCACTGGCTGAGCGAGGTGTGGGAGCAACACCGAGGGTTGCGATCCCGTTGCCGGTCCCGGTCCGGTACAGGCGCGACACTGAGGGTTGCGATCCGTTGCCGGACACGGAAAAAGACAAAAAGGAAAAAAAAAATTATTGTAGTTTGTTTAAAACATTAGCTGACTATATATAGTCAATCTAATATTGAGGGGTAAAGGTGGATATAGGGGTATAAATGAAATGAAAGTAGCCTTGAGTTGATTGTTACTCTCATCACTCTCCACTTTTACGTTGGTTTGGGATTTCGCATTAAACAAAAAAATCAGTACAGTCCAAAAACATAGTAACTTGGATGAAGGATGTTGAGTGCTAACCCTGTGTAGTTTCTTGACTGGTGTTTTTGCCTCTAAATTATTAAAATTGATCTAATAGAAAACCTGAGTTGCTCAAGTGAGAAAAAATCTGCTTCTCGGGGCCGGCCCGGTGGTGCACTCGGTAGAGTGTGGCGCTTGGGAGTGTGGCGGTGCTCCCGCCGAGGGTTCCGATCCCATATAGAGACCGGTCCGCTCACTGGTTGAGCACGGTGCGGGCGCGACACCGAGGGTTGTGATCCCGTTGCCGGTCGCAGTATGGGCGCGACACCGAGGGTTGCGATCCCGTTACCAGTCACAAAAAAAGACAAAAAGGAAAAAAAAAATTGATCAAAGGACTTGAACAGACATTTTCCAAAAAAGATATGCAAATGTCCAATAAGCACATAAAAAGATGCTGGTCACTGGGGAAATGAAAATCCAAACCACAATGACAGACCATTTCACATTCACTAGGATGATTAAAATCCTAGAGACTTCCAGAAATTAACAAGAATTGATGAAAACATATCTGCTTCTCCAAGAAAAATGTAGAATGTCATTTTCACGTCATACAGAATTTAAGTTCTTTGACGGTAAAGACCTTGTCTGTCCTACCCATCTTGGTATTAACCAATACTCTCAGTAGACTTTATTTTCAATTTTTAATTTTTTTTTTGACAGCTGGCAGTATGGAGATCTCCTTAACCTTGGTGTTACAAGGCTCTGCTCTAACCAAATGAGCTAACCAACCAGCCTTCAGCAGACTTTTATTTCTAATATGGAAGTTTCTAACAACTTTGAGAATAATTTATGTGGCTTAAGCACAAATCTTTATGGCAAAGTTTTAACACTAACATCTTTATTTCTTAGAACAATTCATATTTAACAGTTGAGATTTGGTTTAAACCACCTACTAGATTGTAAATTCTGTAGGAATAGGGACATTGTTTCTCTTGCTCACTGCTGTGTTTCCCAAGCCTAAATCATATTAGGCCCTTACAAATATTTGTTGAATGAATGTTTATGCAATTTATAGAACCCTTTCTAATGTGTTTTCTCTCTCCCGACCACTCTCTCAACTCTAGCCCCACAGCATGGAACCACAGGTTACTCTAAATGTGACTTTTAAAAATGAAACTCAAAGCTTTCTGGTTTCTGATCCAGAAAATACAACCTGGGCTGATGTGGAAGCTATGGTGAGTGTTACATTGTTGTTTCTCAGTGGTTTGAGCATAGATTTTTTCCAAAGGTAACTATTTTTAGCAGTGTGATTTAATAGCTGTAAAGTCTGTCATATTTACCATTTCTGTGCCTTTGAGAAATTGTTTTTGACAGGGATTCAGTATTCATACAGGAGATAAGCCCCAATAAAGGCAACAAACCAGTAAGTTCCTTTTGAAGAGTTTGGAAAGGGAAGGTAAAATTATTTTTTTTAAAGGGAGATAGGATTTAGAACACCTATTAAATTTAGAAACAGTCTGAGGAAAGAATTGGTGTGGGCCCCACCCCAACCAGGCCCCAGGGGAATGTTCACTTGCTTGAGAACAGAAATGTTAGTGTTGTTTGTGAACTGCCAAGGATATAACTGGTGTTTTGCAAGATCCTATCGATTACTTTTATTGCTAGGTCAAAGGCTGAGTAGCTCAAAGTTGAGCGGAAAAAAACTCTCATAGATACTTAGTCAGCAGTTAGTTCATCTGTGTGCTCCTTTGCTAATGCTTTTCCTCCTCTTGGTTTGTCCTTTGTACTCTTGTTTGGTTTGCCATGGTGAATGTTTTACTTTCTGTGTGACTGTTTCTCTAATGAAACCCTTTGGGAAGAACCTACTTTACCTGGTTATGTGTGATGGTAACTAAAAAGGAAAAGAAATGGTGGAGAGATCTTAAAAGATCATCTGACCCAAGCCCCTGCCTTCCAGGAAATAGCTCTTTGTACTGTCTTAGACAGATGGTTATCCAGAAAGAAGTTGGATCTTGTTTGTCCTACAGCTTACATTTTTTCTTTATTGTAAATTATAATTATGAAAGTGTAATGCATGCCCATTATAAGAAGTAAAACAATCCAAACATATGTAAAGAAAAAGTTAATATCCCTTCATTCTCCCATCTCTCCCATCCACTATTTCCACCTCTTTTGGGTAACCAATGTTAATAGCCTTGTGAGTACTTACCCACATTTTCCATATTCATACAGATATCATACTGGGATTATACTGGTTGCTTATTTTGCAGGTTGCTTTTCTTGCCCACCAGTAAATTATAGATGTAGTTCTCAATCAGTAGATAAAGATCAAAGCCCATTCTTTTTTTTTTTTTTTTTTCCTTTTTGTCTTTTTTCGTGTCCGGCAATGGATCGCAACC